CATCTTCAGTTTGTTGTTGGTTTATAAAGGCACTGGGTAAGTTTATGTTTACTCTTCCTGACTGAGTAGCCATTCTTTGCTGGGCCTTAACATGAGGTGGTGTTAAACCTGGAGGATACAAAGGTTCCTCAATAACTTTAGCTTTTTGACGATCTGTTCGTGGTGTAAAACCTGGTGGGTGCAAAGGTTCTTCAGTAGTAGCAACAACTGGAGTATTTTCTCGATCCATATTTCTTCCTTGTAACATACTTTCAAATTTCTTCATCATATCATTTTGGGTTTTCATCATTTGTTCATGCATTTCTTCCTGAACATTCTTGAAGTTTTATTGCATTTCCAGCTGAGTCCTTTCGAGTTGATCTATCTTATCATCCATTACTTTTTTCCGAGTATGATATGGATGCTTCTAGGTGTCCATTATTCTTCGAAAAAGAAAAAAAACCCTTTTTTTTGTTAATTTTAAGTTTTGAAAATGAATGATAAAAAATGCTAAATAAATAATGCAAATATAACACAAATAAAATGCAAATGCATGTATGCAAAAAGGTGTTAATCAAGAGTGATCATCTTAAAACAGATTTCATTGAACATAAAAGTCTCGGTACATCAAACAAAACTTTATATATAGGGGATAGATTTCACTCCTAACTTCTTATCAACCAAATTACCATTTTTTGAGAGCTTCTTCAAGATGTCATTCCTTGGTTGCGTCATATTTTGTTTGATCATAAAACTTTTTGTCCATATATGAAAACTTTTCAATTGGATGTCCACTCTTGAATCAATACCTTCTAATCATGTCATGATCATGCAATGCAAACAAAAGCAATTAATACAAACAAGTTAGAGCACAATAAAATGTATCTAAAATATATAAGAAAAAATAGTAAAATGATTAGTACCAATTAATGGAAATAAAATATTCTATTTATCACGGTATTTATATATAAATTCTAACCTCATGATTTCTAGTTCTATGTTTTGTTTGGAAAAATTAACCTAACCGCATGATTTCTAGTTCGCATGCATTTATTCAAAAAAAATTAAAAGACAAAATTTAAAGCTTATTTCTCCTTTGTGTACACCTACGGACAGAGTTTCAATATTGTCTTAGATTGGGTGAATTTATATGGTTTATTATATGCAAGGTTTCGGCTCTAAGAATAAAGGTACTCGAATTGTCATTGTTGGTGCCCACTTGGGCTACCAAACCCTCAATCCTAATCTATTACAGACTTAAGAGGACCGAGTTCAATTCGAGGGGACACATTTCTCTATGTCTGACACGGAGAATAAATTCTCACGAAGACATAGAACATATGAACCTCGAAAGCTACTTGCTAGGTCTGACACGGAGAATAAATTCTCACAAAGACGTCGCTTTCACTCCCACTTAAAAGGGAAAAGAGCTCAAGTATAGAGCTTATGTTTATGCAATGCACGTGTTGTGTGTGAGGATAAACTCTCAAACCTTGTCAAACAACCATTAAAAATGAATCCTAATATCTAAAAATTAATCAAAAATAAATGTTAATATATAAGGATATAAAAAATAAAATAAAAAATAAAAAAATGAATTGAAAGAAATCAAAAGAATCGAAAACTAAATAAATATGAATTCTCAATTTCTGACTTATAGAGACAATATAATCAATTTAAGGCTTAACCAGGGTCCCCAACGGAGTCGTCAAGCTGTCGCGACTGTCTTTCAGGTGGGCACGAATTTCCTTGGCCAAAAAATATGTTAATGAAATAAATGGCTTTTTAAGGAAATTTTTTAGAGTCGCCATCGACCTTTTTGAGTTAGGTAGGTCAAATACCTCAAAATCACCTTTTAAGAGACTCTTTAAGAAAACATCAATTAAAAGATAGACTGGTCTGAGTATAACCAAAAATCATTCTTTTTAGTAATAAAAAAGGATTCGTGGTCGGTTACGTTTGGGGAAAGGATTAGCACCCCCACAACACCCAAAATTGGTACACATTGATAAAAAATTGTCTCTATTAGTGAAAGTCTAAGAATTCAAATATAAATTTAATTTATGATCTTATTATTTCAGATCCAATCAGATAATTCTAAAGAAAATGAGTTTTATAAAACTGAAGTAAATATTTATATTTTGTAGTGTTTTATAAATATGGTATTTATTTATTTAAAAATTTCAGAAAATAACATCTAGTTACTTTAAGACAACCCTTTTATTTGATATAAAAAATAAATAAATATTAATAAGAATATGATAATTTTTCCTAAAAATTAATTTAAATAAACTAAATATATATATATATATATATATATATATATATATATATATTAAACATGACTAATAATTACCAATATATTCCCATGTTGAATACATTACTACATGTGCGTGACTAATAATAAAATATATTCTAATAAAGTAAATATATTATATTTTAAACAAAATCATCTTTGAATACATTACTATGCGTGACTAATAATTTAAAAAGTCAAGAGTAGTTGAATAGCTTTAATAACATATTATTCCCATGTTGATTTTATTATCAATATATTTATATAATATAATTTTTATCACCTAACATCTGTAATCAATAAACAAAACATTTAATATAAGTATTAATTGTAATTTAATCATAATTAATTATAAGGAATTAAAATAAAAATTATTTAAAATATAAGGATAAAAATTAAAATACTAAATTAAAAATATTGAAAAATAAAGGAGCAATAATAAAATATAAAATAAAATAAAATAAAATAGTGACCAAAATAAAAGAAATTAAAAATAAGATTAATTTACAAAAATATATAAATTAATAGCCCTAATTCGAAATATAATAAAATATAGGTATTAACAGTGTAATTTATCCCTAAATAATATTCGAATTAAATTATAAATTATTAAAATCTAAGGGATTAAATCTAATATTTACCCTAAATATATATAAATACTACCAGAGACTAAAATATAAATAAAACAAAATACGAAGTCCAAATTAAAAGGCACAAAAACATGACTTTAATGACCAATTTGAAACTATTACAAATTTAAGGGATCACGGAAAGGGTTTTCTCATAATGAAATTACACAAACACTTCCTCCCCAAAACGACGTAGTTTTGATTTGGGTATAAATAGGCCTTAAATGGCCATTTCAAGTTATTCTTCTTCCCTTCTCTCTAAATTCCCTCACCGGAGGGAGCTTCGACCACCGATCGATCACTATTCTGACCACCATCGGTCACTATTCACCGTCGCTGGTTACTATTCCGGTCACTATTCACGACCGAAAAAAAATCAAAATAGCTCAAAATATAGATCAAAACACCCTAAAATCGAATCTGACCTCTGTTTCTCCTAAAAACGTCTAGAATTTACTAGATCTAAATTTATACCTATGGTTCACGACGGTTTCTGACGACGTTTGGGCTCCTCGGTAAGTCTTCTTTCACTTCTTTTCCCCTCTATCTCTTCGTTCGTATCTTCTTCCTCTTACTTCTTGCATGTTTTCAAGGCTTTTATAGGCCTCAGGAAGCTTCAAACAACCGTTCATTTTGGTGAGTCACCGAATCTACAATGGTGACTCACCATAGGGCGAGGTGTGCGGCTCTCCTGTGGCTTCTGGAGTCTTCCGTCAAGTTGGTGGAGGCGTGGAAACATCTGGTTGGAGCTCCTAGAGAAGATAAGCAGAAAACCCTAAAAGTATCTTAATTGGTGGGTCGGGTCTGGATATGAATCTGGGCCTCCGATTTTGTAAATGGGCTCCCAATTTATTTTATAATAATAATAATAGTAATAATAATAATATGATAGTCTCGACGAAAATGATTGTCGACAGTTTCCATAACTCACAAATAATTAATAATAATAATAACAAATAAAATAACATAAAAATAGAAAACTCTCCATTGACAAAAGCAAGCCCACTAATAAAACCTAAAACCTTTCTTTCTTTTTTACTGTTCAACACTCATTCTTAAAACAAATTATATATAAACTATCATGTAACTGAACCATGGTTTTCAGAACTGGACCGGTTAGCGAATCGGACCGGTTAGCGAACCGATCATGTTATCGGTTCACTGGTTCAATCGGTCGAACCGGTCTGACCGGTCGGAAGAACCGGACGATGTCATAATTATTTAAAAAATAAATAAAAATATCAAAAATATTTAATAAAAAGTAATTTTTTATATCACAAGTCATATTCAAAGCAAGTCATAACATATATAATTTAAAAACCATAAAATCAATTGAAACAAAATGATTCAAATTAACTACAACATAATATTTAAGGTAAAACAATTAAATAATAATATAATTATATAATTATAATTAAAAAATAAATTTGGGGTTAAAAAATCATAACAAAATGATATTGTTTGGTTTAATTTTTTTTTAAAAACAATCTCACATGGCTAAGAAACATAGAAGAGCATCCCAAAAGTTTAAAGAGAAAATATGAGAACAAAACAATCTCACATTGCTAAGAAACATAGAAGCGCATCACAACTAACTTCTATAAATAATAGAGGTAATTTGGCATTCAAAATCATGGAGCCTTTTGGTGAGCATTGAGTGAACTATTCTTTCACTTCAATTAAGCTCGAATTTTAGGCTTCAATCGAGCTTCTAATTTTTTTTTTTGAGTTCAAGTTTCAATATTATATTTCGAGTTTGAGTTGAACTTGATAATTTTTAGCTTGTGAGTTTGAGTTGAGTTGAGCTTACTTTTAAAGTTTTCAAGTTCGAGTCGAGCTTAGCAATACTCAAGTTCGACTTGGCTCGTTTAACAAACGACGTTGTTTGGTTTAATTTTTTTGTAAAAAAAAAACAAAAATCCCGATTTTTTCCGGTTTTTAGTCGGTCCGGTTTGAACGGTTCAGCGGTTCTGGCCGGTTCACTAATAGCAGTTCAATCGGTTTAAATTGAACTGGACTAAGCAACGATTTTCGGTTGAACCGGTCGGTCCGGTCCGGTTTTCAAAACATAGACTGAAACCAAAACCAAAAACAAAAACAAAAACGAATAAGATAGTATAGTAGTAATACAAGTTACACACTAATGTTGCTTACAACTGTTTAACCATATACACCAATTCCATTATCAGTCCGATGAGCCGCGATGGCTAAATACTGAACACTGCGATTGCGGCCTTGATGGCTGCCTTCCGGCACTGACCGGGCAGGCTAATATCCCAACCTCCGGCTCCATGCAATTGTAGGACAAGCACAACGACACCGTATCAGGCAGTGTGAAGCCTTGAGTTAATGGGAATCCAGATAAGTAGTTATGCTGTAGGTACAATGTTGTGGTGGTGCCGTCGTACACGCTCTTAATGTACTCCTCCGGGACCGATCCCATCAGACGGTTGTTGTTCAAGTAGAGAGTCTCCACCCCAGCCAACCACGGTGTGATCTCCCCCGTGATGGAGTTATGGCTCAGGTCCACAACGGATCCCTCGCCGCCGTAGGATTGGACCGAGGGGTCCACCTTGATCGATGGGAGCCCACCCGATAAATTGTTCCGTTGGAGGAACAGTGAGGTGAGAGAGGGATTAAAGAAGAGAGAAGTGGGGACGGGCCCACTGAACTGGTTCATGCTAACGTCGAGGTACACTAATTCGGATAGTGAATCCAGGGCGTTGAGTGGACCCCACATCGAGTTCTCCGATACGGACAAGTAACGGAGGGTTGACGGCAGCCCTGGCAACGGTCCCTTGATCTTGTTCTTTCTCAAATCCAAGTGTAATAGCTGCGCCGACATTGTTGCTGGTAACTCGCCAGTTAGTTCGTTCGAACTCAGCACCAGGACTTTTAAGGATGGAAGCTTTGTGAGAGCCGGTGGAATGGACCCGGTGAGCCGGTTTGAACTAAGATCCAGTGTGTGTAAGAATGGGAGACTGGAAAAGGAGGATGGTAGGGGTCCCGTTAAGCGGTTGTTGGTCAAGGAAATGACTCGAAGACCAGTGAGTTGACCCAGTTGAGGAGGGATAGGACCGGTGACGAGGCCAGGGAAGAGGATGAGCTGGGTTAACTGTGTCAGATTGGAAAGAGCAGGGGAGAGTGAACCGGCGAGCCCTGGGGAGACGGAAAGGCCAGTGCCGAGAGAGAGAACGGTGACTCGACCGTCGAAACCGCACGTGACGCCGGTGAATGAGGAGCAAGGATCCGGTGAGGAGAAGTCCCAAGTGGAGAAGAATCTTGAGCCTGGAATGTCTGTCAGGCTGTCTTTAATGACTGACAGCGCCGCCAGATCAACACCGCTGATCTTGGGTCGTTGCTGAAACGATGAAACAGCCGAATTGACAGAAAACAGAAGAAGAAAGAAGAAGAAAAGGTGGCATGTAATGGTGAGCCATTGTTGAATGAACAACAAAAAAATACCCTAAAAAACAAGCTCTTAAGTAGCGAAGAAAGATGGAGGTGGAGTTACGTGAGTTTATTAATTGCGCATTACAAGTCTTTTTTCTATAGTATATAAGTTGAATGAATGAGATCCAAGAGAGGCAGATATATAATAATTTAACTCAACAAATGGCTAAATAAGAAACAAAGAAATTAAACCAAGTCAGTGTAAAAATAATTGAAGGAAAATGACAGAGGAGAAGGAGGAGTCAGAAAGGGGTCAACATGTTTGTTCCAAAACTACTTGTCTGAAGGATCTGAATCCAACTTCCTATGAAGAAACCAAAGTGTTTTGTTTTGCGTTAAATTATTACAACTTAAATTACTTACAATGAATATTAATAATAGAAATATTATACAACAAAAATCAAAATAGAGGAAGATTACTTTAATAATTTAAATTTTCACGTTTTCAGTGACACAAAAATATATACTACTTTACATCCATCAATATTTGTTATATTCTCTTAGTCTCTATTATTGTACCTATGATTAAACTAATGGTTTTACAGGTTTAACTATTTGTTCGATTTTCAGGGTATTGATGACAGTAGAGTTATGCTGTTGACATCTTATCCTACATTAAAGATGGTTGAAGTGCTTCATTTATTCAAATCGTTATTAGAGTAGGAAGTAGGTTACCACATATGGGGATGTAATACACTAAAACTAAAAATGTTTTTTAAATAATTTGAAATGATTATAATATATATTCGTTCATATCTTTTTAATTATTAAAAAAACATATATTATAAATATAATTATTCGAACTTAAAACATATCAAAAGAATAACATTTCTATAATCACTAAAACTATTTAATATGTTCAAATAAAAAATAAACTTGTACGTACATATGGAATGGTGTTTGTATATTTTAGAAATGAGATGGACAATTATTATGGTACAGATTGCGACACCGAGGAAAGAACATGTCCTACTACCAAATAAAACGAAGATAAAATATTGCTGCTAACCACTTAACAAGGTTAGATATTATTTTATTCCAATCCGATTAAAAATTTAAATTAAAATAAACTATAAAATATGAAGTTCTAAAAATTAAGTTTTAAACACTAATATTTGTATTACTAAAATGTAACTACTAAGATTTATTAATAAGCACAAACCAACTTGTCAAAACATTTTTTTTAAAACAATTAAATATTATTTTTAAAACAATTATGACTTTATTTTAAAAAATTGACGATTTTGAATTAATTTGGATGCAATTGGATAGGAGTCGCCATCGACCTTTGGGTTAGATATGTCGAATACCTAAAAACGTCTTTTAAAACAATTTTAATGAAAAATTGTTTTGTAAGACAAAAATTGGTTTGCACTTACCAGAAATCGGATTTAACGAGTTCGGGAGTCGATTACGCGTGGATAAGGATTAGCAGCCCCACAGCGCCCAAAATTGGTATTTAATTACTTACACGTTGTAATGGCGGAAATAATGAATTCACATTGATAATTAAAATTATGATCCATTTACTAAAGTTGATTAATTTTCTTCAAATTAATAACTTAAAGATTAATTTTCTTCAATTTAATAACTTAAAGAAAATTCTTTGACTTGATAAGAAATCTCAAAATTCGCAATCCTCCGTCGGGAAAGCTATTTCGACTACTTCTTACATGTAAAAGAAGATTTTATCTTCGAATATATAAAAAACACAAATTGAATAAAAAATGATTATTGACATTTGCATAAAATAAAATAAATTAATATCTTGGAATGTGCATTGCATCATTTGAATTAAAACCGATTACTTAGCACTAAAAATAGTTTTGATTCATTTCAAGCTCTCAGTTGGTTTGAACGTCATATCGAATTGCAATACTTCGATTAAGTGATACTTTCCATGCCTGTTCTGCAAATGCAATTCTTGAAAATATTCAAATAATATTAATAATTAAGGAGATACAATAGGAAACAAATGCTATTGGAATCATGCGAAATAAAATATTCACAGTAAAAACAACATATTACAAACACTGAAAATAAGATAATAAGCAAAAGGGATTAAATAATAAAATCGAAAAGTTAATGCCTAAAAAACAAATAAAATAAATAATAAAGCACATACTATAAAAACAACACATTACAAACAATGAATGTAATAAAACCATATATTTAGGAAGAAAATACAAATATCCAAAATTACATGCTAAAAATCAAAATAAAAAATACATAGTTTACAGTGACCAAAATAAACATGCGTAAAATAATATGGCCAAATCAGAAGCAATAATCTCGAGTGAGGACCGAACATGTAAATAAACCAAAATAAATAACATTATGACAATACAGTGGCTAAAATAAAACATATGCAAAATAGAAAGGATCGAACATAATAATAATCTATTTCATTTCATGACCGAAATAGACAGATTACAATAGTGAGGGACCTAGGGTGCTATTATCCCATAAAAGATGGAAAAAACAGGTTGCCCTTACCTCAAAACGGTGTCGATTGGCCAAGGAATATAAGCCCAAAACACGGGCTTTTCATTCTCATTCTCTTTTTTTTTATTTCATAAAACAAAGAGGGAGAGAGTTAAAAACTCTCTCAACATCCCTCATCGAAGAGAGGGAATCGCCTCTCATTGGCGGCAGCCACGGTGGAGCCCATAGCTCACGGTGGCCGAAGGAACTCAAACCCCCCAAAAGCTTCCCCCACTCGCCCTTAGCTTGAAAACCACCTCCACTTAGCCTAAAAACACCCTAGATCTCGAATATTTTGAAAGACTGGCGACCTTTGGAATCTCCGATGCTTTGAACCGAGGTAAATATCTCTCCTTTTTTTCTCCTTTCTTTTTCTCTTTGAAAACCCTCTTTGGTTATTTTTTCTCTTCCCACCGAATCACTCTCTGAAAAATCCCCCTATTTTTCCTTGCATGTATGTTTTAATGGTAGAAATCAACAGAGTTTTTTTTATAGGGAATGATTTCCTATGTTTAGGCTTGATTGACAACCCTGATTTCCTCGGGATAACATTGTCATTTTATTATTATTTTTCTCTAATTTCTCTGCCATTTTCCTATTTATTGTCACTGTTGATGATAACATCGGGCGGGAAACGTTCAGCGACGGTTCGGGAGTGCTCAACGGCGATTCACGCGACGGGGGAACGAACGGTGGAGTCCACGCGCCAATGGGAGCTGAAAGGTTTCTAGCGGCAGCGACAGTTGAGCTGGAGAGAAGAAACCCTAATGTTTAGGGTTGTATATTAGGCCGATTCGTGTCGATCATGGGTCTCCAATCGGGTCTTGTATATGGGTTCTGGTGCTGTTGAGTCAACTTTTGGCTGGGCTGATTTGGCTGGGCCTTGTTGGGTTGTAATCTGCTTGCTTGTAATTTGGGTTGAATGATGTAGTTGGGCTTTAGGTTTAGGCCCACAAAAATATGTAATTAATAAATAATAATAATAGTAATAGTAATACTAATAATAATTAAATATAGTTTTTAAGCCAAGTAAAAACGGGTGTCTACACAATTTATCTTAGTGGTTAAAAGAATCAGTGTTTTTATAGGTCACGTGTTCGAGTACCGCTAACTGCAACAGGGTGATTGAGTGTTAATTATATTTAGAACATATACTACTTTGTAATCACCTTAATTGGTAGATTTAGTAATTAGATGGAATAAATGCATGAGGAGAGGTTGAGAATAATGTTAGCTAAAGGAAGTAAAAACCAAAGGGAAATGGTTAGCAGCCTCATTTAGTAATCCCATCTAAATTTTAATTCAATGCTTTTGAGCTACATATGCACTATTTGTTTAGAAGAATAAAAATGAAAAAGGGGAATGAGTGCAAGATGGGTCAATGTTTTAATTTAGTGGGGAGGAAAGGTATTGGGTTGGAAAAAAGTTGATTAATTCGTACTGGGTTTGGCAAAAGCATGCATCCAAATGTCCCGACTCGATTGTTATAATACAAAGATAACCCCCCTCGGCTCGATATTTCAATTCATTATGTATCACTTCCTTTTCTCGCATGTCTGTTTATTCATCAATGCATGTGACCTTCTGACCCACTCTTTTGAAATCAATTTCTTTTCTTCAATTTTAATTTTTTTAAAAAAAAATTATTTTGTCGTTAGCATATAAGGACCACTACGTTTGGCATAGCTTGTAATGTAACTCATGTTGAATTACATTTGCAAACTCATTACCACATTTAGGTGTAAGAAGATTTTTAACGAAGTTTTAATCAAGGCGGATGTATCACCTTTTATTTAATAAAAGTGCTTTGTCAAGCAAAAAATAAATAAATAAATAAATAAAACTTCTTAAGTTTGCTCTATACGATAACATCAAGAATCAAACCCTTAATGTTTTTAAATAAATTAGTGTCTCATTCCACTATACTAACTGATTGACGGTAAATATTTTAAATTTATTGAAACTTCTGTATATGAAAATATAATGGGATAAAACTTGGTTTTAAGTTTAGTGGGATATAAGTTAAAGAGTGGGCAGGAAGCAAAGAAATGGTCCAAAAAGAGAAATCAAGTGGCATGGGTTATGGTATGAGCAGTGAAACGTGGGCAAATCAAAATTTATTATGTACATTTCGTCACGCTACACTTGTAAGATTCCATTTTATTTTATTTTTAATGTTTTAATATTCCAATTCCTCCTTTCTCATTGAATCAAAAGTTTTAATTTCATTTTCTATCTTTCAAAATTATAATCAGTAAACTGTTAAACATTAATCACAAAATAAAAAAGTTTAATAGGTCTGGGCTCTGTTTATTAGTTCTGGGAGGCAATGCTTCGCTCTCAAACTCTAATAGATTTATGTGGAAATGGGTTTGTCTCAAATCCTCTCCTTCATTAAGTTGCTGCTCTTTTATGAATGCTACAGTTAAAATTGCACTTATGGTTTCGAAATTCCCCATAGATGTTTTCAAAACCTCTAAAGTAGTAGATTTACTATATCTTGTTAAAACTTCATTTATAGTTTCGAAATTCCCTAATGTCGCCTAGAGTGCAAATCATCTTTAGTATGTCGCCCAAAGTGTCGTACGTCTTCTGTCATCTTTTATAGCTTTCACTCCATTTCATGAAATAATTTTTGGGGTGTACTATTTTAGGAAATTTTTCGGATGCATTATCTGAAAAATTTAGCCAATTAAATTTGTGTACTAATAGATACTTCCATTGAAAATATAGCAAATACATTTGATTGATTGACTAAACTGTCATTTTTGTTTCTTCATATCCCCTTTTAACTCATTGGTTCTAGACTCACTAGAATCACTTCTCTTTCTTACTCTAGAGTCCACTTTCTCCTCCTTCTAAGTAAGATTAAGATTATATTTGTTGCAGCTATGAAATACTTACAGAAGAATAGGAAGAATGCTATGGCATGAGTCATCTACGTTGCATGGATTAGTTGTAGGTTGTTATTATTGATGATGAGTTGTCCTGATAAGC